TTGCAACTTTCAGAAAATGTTGTGTAGCATGCGCAGGTACCCCCCAATTCACTGGCATCCCAAATGTTGACAGTGGAAGCCCCAGTCCACCTGCTAGGGAACATACCTAGGGAAGAAAATATAACGTTTCGCCCACCCACGAACCAGTGGTAGGCAGTCAGTGGACTAGGGGGACTAAACTAGTCCCCTAAATGTTCCCCTGTCACCTCCTTCCCAGGGAGGGAGGTGTGATATTCACACTCAAGACATCACCCTTGCAAACTGGCATCTCTGGCCCTAACTGTTCCCCTATGAAGAATTTCACCGTACACCACTGCCACCAACAACAATCTGGCGATTGGGCTGGCCTACCTCTAACGCCATATTAGGGGGTGCTCTAAATGCAAAGAGCCTGCTCCCCCCTCCGACACACACATACATGCACCGTGCCCTAAGGAAGGATTGCAGATACTAGCCAGACAAACTCTAGCAAACGTACAGTCATACCTTGGTTTTCGAACAGCTTAGTTCTCGAACATTTTGGCTCCCAAACGTCTCAAAACCAGAAGTGACTGTTTACAAACTATTTTTGGAAGCCGAACGTTCAATGGGGCTTCCACAGCTTCCAATTTGCTGCAGGAGCTTCCTGCAGCCAATCAGAAGCCACGGTTTGGTTTTCAAACGTTTTGGAAGTCGAATGGACTTCTGGAACGGATTTTGTTCGACTTCCAAGGTACAACTGTACTATGATTTGCTATGGGTAAGCTATTAACCCCAGATCACAGTCCCTGGTCAGGGACCTAGGTAAAATTCTTTCCCAGCACTGTCTACTCTCAGCTGGCAGTCAGCCACAAGGAAACAGCAGCAGCATCTCACACTTTTCAACTTCTGGACTGGACACAAAGAGGTTCCTCAAGTCAGGTGGGGAATTAGGCTGCCTGTTTGTGCTTTCTGGTGTCCTCAGTAAGCACACCCTGCCATTTGACCCATTATGTGAACTAGGTCCCAATTCAGACTGCAAGGGCAGGACATGTTTTTTTAATGTGAAAACAGCTTCCTTATGTAGTAAATTAGCACATCAGAGAGGCTTGTGTGAAACATCTCACTGATGTCCTGGTTTATTGCATGCGGGTATTTGTTGGCTGGCTGGTTTTGCGTTAGGGATCATTCAGAAATGTGGTACCTTTTCCTTCAGTCTAAAGCAAGCTTTGCAATCTAGAATAGTAAGCCAACAAACTTCCCTTAGGGCATCAGCCTGTTCCCAGGCACTAATCTATTCCACTTTAAAAGGAAGCGATGTTATTTATGAGAGCATGCAGCCTTCGCAACTGACACAGAATGCACTTTGTATTCAGGCATCAAAACTGACGTTCAGAAATCCAGCTGCAGCTTATTCTCATCTTTCAGATCTGAGGACAAACAGTGACACGTAAAGCAGAGGTGACTATCTATAGCCCTTTAGCTTGCATCATCCCTTGCAATTGGACATGCCGGCTGAGATGGATGAGAGTGAGAATACAACATCTGCAGGGCCGCAGGTTAGCCACCCCTTGGATAAAGCATGTCTTTATATGACAATAACAAGACCCAATGTTTGTGTCATCTCCTTGAGGCTGCTATTGAGTGTCTGTTGCTTAAAGCTGCAGGATGTAACTGTAATTGAGTTAAATAATTTAAAGCACTTTTTTAAAAAAAGTGATGAAGAGATCAGCAAGACCATGGGTGCAGTAAGGGAAAGTGCTAAGGACTTCGCTTAGTTACGAATGCCACATGGGTCATGGTCCGTGACTCACTCTGCGATCAAAGGCGAACGAGAATAAAAATGAAACATTTGCGAGCCTCGCAGTTGCCAAAGAATGTGAGTGAAGTCATAGAAAAATCATTGAATGCATCTGAAAGGCCAGCAGCAACTATTGCTCCTACTTTAGAAGTTGATGTGGTTGGATGAGCTTTAATTCCTCTCTGAGGTTCCAGTAAAATAATTTGTCCCTTTCAATTATATCTACAAAGAGCCCAAACTACATTTGTAAATATTGCTTCATTGTTTCACATTGTTTCACATCCATCATTTAAGGAAGTTTTCTGTGGAGACCATTACAGATGTGTATTCGACAACAGTACATTCCTATGCAAGTCTACACAGATTTCAGCGTAAAAAAAAAAGGACTTTAACATAAAGTAAATATAAATATCAATGAACTATCATCTCCAGTCTTCCAATTTTGTTGAAAGCTAGTGAGTCTCCTCTGGTCAATTTTTTAATCGAGAATTCATCCTGATTTACTTGCACAAAGCTTACCCGGAGGTTAGACTAGCTTTTTATTGAGATGTGTTTGATTTGTTTACAGGGAGGTTATAGAACAAAGAGTATTCAAGTGTATTTATTCCACCAGTTGATTAACTGTGTAAACCTAGAATTCTGATATGTGTTTGAATTCCTCCTACAAACAACTAACAGTCTGAAGGCAAACTGGCTTTCTCCACAGGTAACTGTGATTACACCTAGACAATTTCAGGGAGACTATTTCTAGTCTGAATCGCTTTCACATGTTTTACCCATAATTATGTTCTGTTCCTGCATTAATCTGTTGTTTTTATTTTTAAAGCTAAATCTCCCCAAATACTTCTACTTCTACTTTTATTTTTGAAGAGCACACAATTGGCAGGAGAGCATCATTGAATGAGTTGTGCTTGTATTTCCCAATAGCACTGACACTTAAACATTCTTTGGAGCAATTGTTGCTATTTTCCTGGGTTACAGTTTTAAACCTTCTGTGAAGTCTCCTTTGTGTTACAAGAGATGCTTTGAAAAACAGATACCATTAACTATGCTGGAAGACCTTGAAACATCTACTATAGCACAGATTTGCAGTTTGATCAAACGTCAGTACAATATTGATTAGTACAATTTGATCAAACGTCAGTACAATATTATCGGTAGCAAATAGAGCGGACTAGCTCTTCAGTGGCTTCCAAGTGATGTACCAAAGCTGTTAAACATGTGTCTTTGGTTGCAGACTTCAGGACAGATGGTGTGGCAGAAGAATAACCAAGGGAGCAGAGTGTTGTATTCAGCAGGAGCATTCCTTCTGTGTGTGGAAATTCTTCTCAGCTCCCACAATCAAGTTTTAACACAACTTCGTTCGCCTTAATTAGAGCGAGGCTGAAATCTTGGTGCCAAAAGTGGGGCTAAATTACAGTGTTTCCAAATGAGGTTGAAGGCAGGAGAATATCCTAAATAAGCATCCCCATTAAATAATGAGAGTGGATTGCCATAATTACAAGAAAGAGCTGGCTGTAATAGTTACTTACCCTCCGCTTGCAGGATCAATGGTATACATTGCAAACCCAGGATCCAATCCATAGCCATGGGCATAGGGAGAGAAGCTGCCAATTCATTCAAATGGGAGTTTGGATCAGGCCCATAATACATGAGGTACAAAATGAACAAGGTGCATTGGATCAGATCCTGTGATCATATTATAAAGTAGTTGTGCTTTATGTTAGAAATCAAGCACTGCTAGGAGTGCTTTTGTTTTTGTTTTGCAATGTGGTGTAGTGGTTAAGAACAGTGAACTCGTAATCTGGTGAACTGGGTTCGATTCCCCGCTCCTCCATATGCAGCTGCTGGGTGACCTTGGGCTAGTCACACTTCTGTGAAGTCTCTCAGCCTCACTCACCTCACAGAGTGTTTGTTGTGGAGGAGGAAGGGAAAGGAGAATGTTAACTGTTTTGAGACTCCTTCGGGTAGTGATAAAGCGGGATATCAAATCCAAATCCATTATTTAAAAAGTGCAAGTGAATTTTTATTCTGAAAGCATGGCCCAGAAAAAAGAAGTTTGAGAGCCACTGCTATACACTGAACTAAAGGCAAACAGGGCCCACCTACTCAGGTAACCCAAGCAATCAGCAGCAGTAAGGGCCAATGAAGCGACCTGCCATGATCTGAGAGATATGTGTTCCAGTATCTTCTGTGACCTGCAGGAGACCCTGGAGCACATCTCCTAGATTAGGCGGCCAAATGTTTCGAGTCGGTCCTGACCGACTTTATGTACAATGTTTTTTTTAAAAAATGCTTCTCCAAAAACTTGAGATAGTTTCAATGGCCAATAAAAACATGCAGAAAGGAAGCAGTCTGAAAACTAAAACACTTTTATATTCCTCCTATGATGGCATAGGCGCTTCAGTTAAGTAATCTGGTACACACTCACAAGACTGCGTCTTTCTAAGTTAATCATGCCATAGTTATGCTCAGAGTGCGGCATTACAGAAAGTGAGCAACCAATCCAGACGAAAGTTATCCCTTCCAAAAGCACTTAAGGAACTGAGGGAAAGGAGAAAAATGCTTTCTTCCTCTCATCTGACAGATTTGTTTGGCTCTCTTCATAGCAGTGGGCTAAGTAAGGCAATAAAGGGAATGGCGGTGTCAGCATTCCACCGTTGTTGGTTTTGGGGGGAGTTTTTTGCTGCTGCATCCGACTCCGTTCTTTGAAGTCTCCATGCAAGCCTGCATGATTTTGGTACAGAAAACATTTTGAGCTTGTAGGTGGTCTAACACCTGCTTCCTGAGCCAGAACTGTAGCAGCTGTTGTCCAACGCATACTTTAGATGAGGGAGTAGAGTGTTTCTCTCATACTTGTGCCATGTTTTGTTTGTTTTTTGTTTGTTTAATAAGGTTGTATTCGTAGCTCAATGTGACATGGTTTATTTCTCCTTTGGCAAATAAAATGAACCCTTTAACGTTGTAAATGCGCTGCTTATAATAGAATGTAACTCACTCATCTTGCACCTTTTAATGTCTTTCTGCCCTTGGAAAACGGTAGCTGGTGTGTAAGGAATGTATTGCTGTGCTCATTATAAAGGAGACTTTTCATCCCGGGTGCACGATGATGCACAGGATGAAAGTGGACGACATTGTGGTAAATGTTCGACTGGCCTGTCCTATAGGCTGCGTACATACTTTGCGTTTAAGCCACAATCAACTCACATTATTTTCCTCAAAGAATTCTGGGCACTGTAGTTTGTGCAGGGGCCATGCTAATCTTCTCTGTCACGTTCCAATTTTAGTACAGTATATGTGCTGCCTAAGCAAGCACTGTAGTTTGTTAAAGGTTACTGGAAACTGTAACTCTGTGAGGGGTAAACCACAGTCTCCATAATTCTTTGAAGAGAAAGAATGTGCTTACAATCTAAGTTTCTCCTCAGGATCAGAGGATCTTGTCCAAAGAAAGAAGAAAATAAGGGAGAAATGTCATCTCATTATCACCCTGCGGTATTGCCACTAAGTATTCACACATAGTCTCTCATTACTGATTGATGTGTTTTCTCTTAAACCAATTCCCATCCAATTTGAAAACGTAAGTTTCAGTCGAGCTGAGGTGCGTACATTTCCAACAGCTATTGTGAATGCACAGGTAACAAACAGCTCGTGCCCAGGAGTTTGCTTTATTGAACAGGAGTTTGGCAGGGGAGAAAAATCAGGTGTTGTCCATCAGGAGAAGACACCCCTGCCCCCATCTCTGGTGTGTAAAAAAGTGACTTGAGGCTCCGGAGGGGGGTGACATTCCTGTGTTTCAAGTCGCTAATATGTACATAGTCTTAGTTCTGACCCTGCTGGGACCCCTACAAGGGCTGGTTCATGCATGGCATGGCAAGCCAAGCTAAATTATTGCTTCTCTGGACCATATGACCATGTAGGCTCCTGCAGAGGAACTCCAGTGTGGTGTAGTGGTTAAGAGCGATAGACTCGTAATCTGGGGAACCGGGTTTGCTCCTCCACATGCAGCTGCTGGGTGACCTTGGGCCAGTCACACTTCTCTGAAGTCTCTCAGCCCCACTCACCTCACAGAGTGTTTGTTGTGAGGGAGGAAGGGAAAGGAGAATGTTAGCCGCTTTGAGACTCCTTCGGGTAGTGATAAAGCGGGATATCAAATCCAAACTCTTCTTCTTCTTCGTCTTCCAACTGCTTTGCTTCTCCCTCATTGTTGTTTGACTTAGTGTGTCATCTGAACCTGGGCTTGGGGTTAAACTCTCTCCTTGGCTGCAGCCAATCCATATATTGTATTGTATTTTTAATATTGCCTTGCCTTGTTTGTAAGCCATCCAGGGAATACTTGATGGGCAGCCATATTAAATGAACTAAATAAATACATACATACAGTGCTATAATGTCATTTATGAACATCCCTATGGGAAAGGAAATGTTACAGTGGGCTCCACATTCCAATCAGAGAATTGGTGTCTCCCAAGTTAGATAATTCAGATGGTCAGATAGGGTCATCATCATATAAAGTGCCTACCTACAGTTTTCTAAATGCTGTAGGAGAGATTAGAAAGCAGTCTTTGCCTGCTGGTTTACAATCCAAAAGCAAAAAGAAACTACGAACTAAGAGAAAAGCAAGGAAATTCAGATTCTATTTCTTTCAAGTACAGAAATGTGTTTCCGCTTCACATCTTTACACAACGGCCCATCCACACATGGCAAACATCCTTGCCACATAAAGTGTGAATCAGCCCTCAGATCCAAGTTCTCTGGCAACTTGTTATTCTGCTGTTACTGCTTCTTAACCCCCCACCCACCCACCCCACCCATTTAAGTTAACGGGAAATGTTTGGTGAGTCCCTTCTCTAGTAGCTGTTCTGAATTTAAAGCTGCGCTTTGAATGAGGAAGCTTCAAAAGAGGACCTTAAGCAACAGAAATCCAGCTCTAGTTTCTGAATGAGAATCTCAGCTATAGCATTGCTCTTTTGTGCTTTACTCACGTAGTGGAGTGACAATTGGAGATGCATGCATCAAAAAGACAGCCTGAAGTTAAAATCCACAAAATCCTGGCTAATCTGTTACAATGAGTCATCTGCTGCCCTCAGAGCTAATGGAAGCGCTTATGTAAAATACTAAGTGATGAAGGGCTTATATGCCCAGCATGTTAGATCCTACAGGGGTGAATTGGCTGGGGATGTTTTTCTACTGTTTTCTTGCACTGGTGATATATGAGCTCCCTTAGTCATGATAATGTTCTCTGACGCACCATAATTCTGCAAGCGACTCCTGATACTTTCTCTAAAAAATAATGACATAAATACAGTTGTGCTGATACACTGCAAATGTTTAAGACTTGTTTTCTTTTTTAAAAGAATGTCATGCAAACAACACCTTTAGATTGTACATAGTGGGAGGGGTACCCAGCCAGGTTTCCTGCCCCAGGTGAAGCCTCCAGAGGGGCAGCATTGGACTCCCAGCCTTTGTGGGTGTGTATGAAAATGTGTATGGGTGTTTGTGTGCCAAACTGGGTCTTTGACCCAGATGAAATAAAGCCTAGTTTCGCCTCTGGATTGTAATTACTATTGTTCTGGAATCATAAATTAGAGCTAAATTCACAAACTAAATCTGTGGTGTTTCAAGAACTATACAAACAAATTGAAATATACTTGGAGTCGAGTGTGAATTTCATGCTCTTTATGCAGCTCATAGTAGCAATGAATGAAACTTTCCCCAAGACGTCTAGCTATATATACATTTACACAATGGACCCCACGTGATTGGCTAATTCCAAGCTGCTCCTGTAGGCCAATCAGGTTGAGGATTCACCTCCTCCAGAAGCCTGTTTAGCTGCTCCTGCAGGCCAATCAGGTCACTGATTCACTTCCATCTGGAGCTGGATTGGGTGGCTCCTGCGGACCAATCAGACTGCTGCATTCTGGATCCTATTGTTCTAGGATTCAGCTCAGTACATAACACAAACTGACAACTGATGCTCTACCACAGTGATTGCCAAGCCAACAGAAGCCACTGGACTACAACTCCCAGCAGCCCCTGCGTGCTCTGCCAATGGGCAGAGAAGATGGGAGTTGCAGTCCAACAACATTGGGAGGGCAGCACACAGGGGCTACCCCTGCTCTTACACAAGCCACAACTGATCTACAGACCACAAGTGCATGAGATAGGAACATTACAAAGACACATTCATGTGTTCAAGGGCATCGTTTTAAATCTCTAAGTCTCTGTAACAGCTGCTTGGATCCTACCAAGCTGCTGTACATTATGTGCAAAATATCATTTCCAGTTCAAACAAAATTCAAAAGAGAAATTAAAAGGGAACAAAAAAAAGGATGTGTGCCTTGAAGCCTTGCATTCTTAAGCATTTTCCCCCGATTTAATGTTAAAACAGGGAGAGAAAATTGAAAACATCACACAATGTGTGTGCAATATAAAATTCTGCTACTAACCAAAACCATCACTGACCTAATTTGGTTGGATTCTCAACGTAAAATGACATTCAGGCATGCAAAGCAAGCAAATATAATACCACTAAGGGACCCAGACAATCCTTCAGCTGAATACCTCAGATACATTCTATAGAATGTATGGGATATCTATATGTTTAATTTTTGGGGTTTGTGTCATTATCTTAGTCTCAAGAAAGGATTATATGAATAGAACTGAATAGAACAAGACCACAAGATTACAATGCCCAAACATATTTATCTCTTCTGATAGGTCACTGAAATATAGAGGAGAAGACAGAAACAGGGTTCAGAATTGGCAAAGCTTGTTGTCCTTCTACAAATCTTTGGGTCCTGCCTCTTATCTCTTGGTGGCCCCATTTGGACTCCAATTCTGTCGGCACTTGTGATCCAAGTTTGCTATTAGAGACAGTCATTTACTTTACATTTATTCCATGCCTTGTTATGAACAGTCCTCAAGAACGTTGCAGTGAGCAAGTTGCTTTATTAGAATATTGGCAATATTCAACGATGTAAACAGCAACCGTCATTCATCGCTGCCTCTTGCCTTATCTGTTGACACACCCAAATCAGCACTTGCAACAATAGCTTTTTCACACCAGCCCTGTTGGGTCATGTTTACAAGGCTCAAGAGCTTGCCAGCATATCATAATAAAACCATTCAGTGACTCCAGTGTAATTATCTTCCCTTTGGTTGGCACAGCATTTCACTCATAAAAAGAACAACTGATTGTGAATAAATGTTATCCAACACCACAAGTGGCAAAACATGAAACTGCCTCTTGCACCCAGTTGGCAAGAGAGTATGCTGCCAGCACACTCTCTTGCCTGGGAGAGGGATGTAGATGCAGCAGCTAGGTGCCTGATCCAGCAACACACTTTTTTCCCAAACCATATTGTTTAATTCATGATTTATCTCTCTGTATTCCTAGGGCGGGGTCCTGAATGATGCCATCAGTGTTAGGAGATGCAGAAAACTTCAAGGCCAGTGTGATGTAGTGGTTAAGAGTGGTGGACTCGTAATCTGGTGAACTGGGTTTGCTTTCCTGCTCCTCCACATGCAGCTGCTGGGTGACCTTGGGCTGGTCACACTTCTCTGAAGTCTCTCAGCCCCACTCACCTCACAGAGTGTTTGTTGTGGGGGAGGAAGGGAAAAGGAGATTGTTAGCCACTTTGAGACTCCTTAGGGTACTGATAAAGCGGGATATCAAATCCAAACTCTTCTTCTTCTTCTTCCCCAAGCTGGTATCCTACAAATGTTTAGGACAGCTCCCATCAACCCCAGCCAGCATGGTCAATGCCGCTCAATGATGATGAGAATTGCTACCTAGATGAATCAAGGGTATAAGGCAACTACCTATGTTCCTTTCTGATACTGAGTTGAAATCCCACAATTGTATACTATAAACCACCCTGTGATCTTCAGATGAAGGGTAGTATATAAATTTAATAAACAATAATAATAACAACAATTATCCATTTAGTAAATCCACTTCTACTACAGAAACACAAAGAATTAGATTAGCTGATCATTTCGGTCTGCCCTCTAAGCTTGTGTATTTGGATCTGACACAGGGAAGGGAGCTAGATCAGTGGGAGAACATCCGCTTTGCATGCAAATCATCGCAGGTTCAATGCCCAGGTAGGGCTGGGAATATCCTCTAGCTGTAACCCTGAAGATCTGCAGCCAGTTGTGAATAGACAACACTGGGTGAGGTGGTCTGACAAAGTAGGACAGCCTCCTAAGTTCTTGTGTACAGAGGAAGACTCTGAGCACAAGAATCCTTGGGGGGGGGTCACACTGAGTCCCTTTGCCATACTGAGCCCACAGAGAATAGTGGCCACTTTGCTG